GGCGTCTCGACACGAGGTGTCGAGACGCGCGCTTGTGCGACTCAGCCTTACCGCACTTTGCGGCAAAGATGCGCAGCTATCCGCACTCTCGCATCCCGCACTCTCGACTCCCGAGCTGTGCCCGTGCGCTCGGTCTTCCGCAAGCAGCAGCAAAACTGCGCAATGCAAAGTACGGCAATGCAGTCTGTGCGCAGCAGTGGCAAAGTTGCCGAAGACAAACCCTAATTCAATTTCGGCGAGAGACAAGAGTGTGAAACTGTGATGAAAGAGAAACGACTCGCTACCGTCACAACAACACTCTGCATGGACACCGAGTTGGACCGAACCAAGTCCATCCCGAGCGGATCGAGTCTTGTACGCGGGCATGAGTACGGACCGCCCATCGCTCCCTCTTCGTCGCTGCTCAGCGTTGCGCACTCGAAAAATGATCAAGCCGACGACTGGCGACGCGTCGAAACCGCAGCAAATCGCGCTGCGCTCAGAACGGTTCTGTGGGTCGCGATGCTTTGCATATGGACGGAGCTGCGGTATGATCGTTTGCAACATGAAGAAGGAGGCATTGCTCATGATGGATCTGCGTCCCAGCGACAAGTTTCTCCAGATCACGTCGACGGGCTGGATCATGTGGGTGTACAACCTCGTTTCCCTCTCGATGGGTGCGACTGCCGTGCTGTACGACGGATCACCCATGTACCCCAACCCGGCCCACGTCGTTCGTCTCGTCGAACATCTCGACTGCTCCGGCTACGGTGCTAGCCCGCGCTTCCTCAGCGAGCTCGACAAGTATTGCTCCGAAAACAGCTTCAGCATCGCACGCAACCTCCAGCTGCGCAAGTTCCGGCTGATGACCAGCACCGGCTCGCCGCTGTCGCCCAAGAACGTCGAGTTCTTCTACAACAACTTCCCCAAGTCGGCCCATCTGTGCAGCATCTCGGGCGGGACCGACATGGCTGGCGTGCTTGTAGGGCCCACCAAGATGCTTCCGCTATTTGGCAACTTTATCCAGTGCAAGGCGCTTGGATTCGACATCCAGGTCTGGGACCCTGAGACGGGCGAGCGCATCGACGATACGGGCAAGCCGGGCGAACTCATCGTCGCCAAACCGTTCCCCACCCAACCTGTAAGTCTGGCCATCCTCAGGCGTGAATGTGCACTAGCGAGATGAGGTACTGACTGTCGTTCTTGGCGAGATTAGACGGGGTTCTTTGGGCCTCCGGAGCAGAAGCAGGCGCTGTACGAAAAGTACATGGACGCGTACTACATCCGCTTCCCCGGTCGCAAAGTGTGGGCGCAGGGCGACTTTATCTACCAAGACAAAGTGACCAAAGGCCTCGAGATTCTAGGCCGTTCCGATGGCGTTCTCAACCCCGTAAGTCCCCCCACCAACACTCTGTATACGGGCATTACTGACATTGGAACTTGCGGCGCGGGATTGTGCAGAGTGGCGTGCGCTTTGGGTCGGCCGAGATCTACTCTGTGGTGGAGAAGTTCGAGTTTGTAGGCGACAGTATCGTCGTGGGTCAGCGACGTGCGGGCAAGGACGAGCACGAGCGCGTGCTGCTCTTCATCAAGATGCGCGAACCCAACGCCACGCTGTCGACAGCGCAGATCAGCCAACTCAACCAGGCGATCAAGAGCGCCTACTCGTCGCGCCACGTGCCCGAACACACGTTCCAGGTCGTCGATATTCCCGTCACGCTCAACGGCAAAAAGACCGAACTCGCCGTCAAGGCCGTCGTCAACGGCAATGCCGCCTTCAAACCCTCCAGCGTGAGTCTTCCCTGCTACAGCAGATGGCACAATTGGGCTCTTTACTGACACGAGTGCGACGATGTGCTGTGCATACAGGCGACGGCCAATCCGCAAAGCTTGGAGGAATACGCTCAGTACGCCGATCTCGAAGCGATGCTGGCAAAACGCCGCGCTTCCAAGCTGTAGTATTCAAATGTAGCAATGGCGACGTGAATGTTCCAGGGCCGCCGCAGTGAATCGCGTTGACAAAATATGAATTTGAAAAACAAGAAAACTGCAGCACCTAGGATTCCCGCGTGGTCCCCCACCGCAGTACTGACTAGGCGATACCTTGCTTAACTTCGCAGATCGGACGGGATGCGG